GACAAAAAGCTTCATGAAGGTCTTTCAGACTTTGCCTCTGGCTGCTGCTTCACTCGCTCTTCGCTCCTCGGACTGTTTTCAGAGGAAAGCTTTTCTTTTTCGTGTTAAGCCTTAAAACGGCCCCTTGAACCTTTCAAGTGTAAAAACAGCATAAAAGCAGTCAACTAAATGAATGAACCAGTGTCATGTCCACACAGTTTCTCAAAAAAACAACTATGTATTACACATTACGCCTTCATCTACTAAAAAGTAATGCAGCATTTGCATAATTACTTGTTGTACCCAATTATCAGTTAATTCTGTAAACCTGTGGCTACAGTCCCGTACACTCTATCATAATGAAGACGCATCTTTCTTTGCGGTTTTATGTATGATCGCAAAACTGACAGCAAGATCAGCCCAAAGACTCGCCACAGTGCTTCTACTTGAGAAACACGGCGTCCACGGTAAGTCTGACCGCTCATCAGGCTCTGGCTGCTGGGCTCGGTTCAGCAGGCACTCACTACAATCTCAGTTCTTCACCAGCTCTGTGTTAGCTTGCTGTCTGTGCAGACGCTTCTGTCCTGGAAGCAGTTTGCATCACGCTCTTCTACTTTGGTGCAAAGCCTACAATTAGAGCCTATTTGATGTTTTTTTTTTAACCTATCTACACTGATCAGAAATGATCATCAATGATCATCTTTGAAATTTGGCTGAGTTATGCCAAATGACACAAGAGTCTGTGGCAGATTATACAGAGACAAACAGAACGAGGGTGATGGATGGCACAGTGCTGTATGTAAATGACACGTCTCATGAGAAACAAAGGTTTTGCGTGCTTTACACAGCTACTGAACCTTTACTTACTCTTTGAACCTGATCTCAGCCCTGACTAGGGATGGGTATCGTTTAGGTTTTATCCGATACCAGTACCAAACCGGTACTTTTGAAACGGTGCCGGTGCTTAAACGGTGCTCAAACTGCTTAAAGAATGGAGAACACAAACTTTGTCCAAAAACCTCTCATGTTTAGCTGTTTTCCTTTTTCTTTGGTCATTTTAGCCTTTTTGGCCAGGGTGAAGGGAGTATCTGCCATCAAACAAGAAGACAGCCGCATGTACTATGATGAGTGTTTGCTAGTTCACCTTACATGCATTAATGTAATAACGTGGTTAGCCTACTCAACGTAAATTACACACGAACAACATTAAGCTACTCACGCAGAGAAGAACGGCTGCTGCTGCATCATCATCCTCATCATTTCTGCTACACTGGCAGGGCTAGGGGCCAGGACTCTCCTCTTCGGGTTTTTGGGGGATGTTGCTAACTCCGGGTCGATAACAGGCACCACACCCGCAGTAGATGTGCTCGGTGTGAGGTCTCGCAGCAAGCTATCAAATACGGCGCATTTCTCGGCTTTTAAAAAAACGCTATGCGTCGCCAGGTGTTTCATCGGATTTGAGGTGTTACCTCCTTTGACAGTATCACAGTATCAGCTTAAAGCACTTGTTGCTGCTGAGTTTGCATATTTTGCTGTGAAGTACAGCCAGACTTTTGACCGCTTCCCTTGGAGCATTTTTAATCTGTAGCTCTGCTCTAAAAGAACGTACGTACCTGGCCCCGCCTACTATCCTCGGAAACGTAAAATGATTGGCTAGAAGTGTATCACAGCTCAGAGAAAAAAAAGCACCGAAATAAAGCACCGAAATGTGCGCTGCTTTTCGGTCTGGTTACTACTGTTCATGTCAGAACCGCTGCCATCATGGCACCGGATACTGGTACCCATCCCTAGCCCTGACCATTTGAGTTTGTTGCTCAGTGGGATCACACTCACGTATCTGCTGGATCCATCATAGTCGCATCGTTCAATCTTGCCAAGGGTCCCATCTGAGAAGTAGAGCTTCTCTGCTTTGTGGTCAATGGTCAGTCCATTGGGCGTTAAGATGTCAGAGCTGATGACGATCCTTATATTTTTGCCAGTTAAGGTGGATCTCATGATGCTTGGCCTCTGCTCATTCCAGTTGGTCCAAAACATCAGGCTGAAAGATATGAAACACAAAACCCAACGAAGCGTTTTAACATCAGCAAGCAAACCTCAGTGTTCTCTTCCACAATTAAAAACAGTGAAGTAATTTCATCAGGGACTTCCTCCCTCTCCAAAAGATGCACTACCTCTCACACTCATTTAAAAATTCACACCACCTCAGCAAGAACGCAAAACAAATGTGTCACCTGAAGCTTCAGACGGGCTTAGAAATAACAGCTTTTTATAGAAGGTGGTGTAGAAGACTGTGCTGCAGAGGATCTGATGCCGTGCACAGACACGTGCACAGGACAAACCCTCTTTAGCAAATAGCTGGAGGTTTATGCAGTCGTGTCAGTCAATGATCAGCATCACTCCACAGCTGCCAAATCCTCATCAGCTTCTCCTTTTTGCCCTGAAGAGCGCAGCTCTGTTTCAATTAGATAAACTGGATTAGCATCAGAAATTCTAAGATAAAGGTCGTTTATTCATGCTCTGTGATAATTAACAGTTATTTACAGGGAAGTAAATCAAAATAAATTACATATTGGTCTTTATAGGATTAGCTGTATGAGCCATGCAAAAAAGTCACAACCAGATAAAATGCTTTCAAATAGGAGAACGCGGTTTGCAAAGTCTGGCTTCTCTCTTCTCGCTGTAATGAAGTCATGGAAGTCCTCTCCAGTGCGATAATAAAGATTCAGGTCAGAAGTCACAACCAGGGGCTACTAATTAATCATCAGTGTTTGAATTCTAATTATCAGACAGTGATTCTAGAGTGGGATGGATACGGTGCCAAACTGCCAACCAAGGATAGTCTGAGGTCAAGAAATTAATTTAGTTAGTATAAAGGAGAGAGAGCTGTGCTCACTCTGTGCAGCTGTGCAGCTTTTATATGCATGAAATGCAGCTTTTAAACACAACTTACAACAGAGGAGGAATATTTACACGTTACTTTTTGGAAACAGAAGATGCACCTGAATCTTTTCAAAAGCTAAGAGTTAAATAGATGAGATTTCAGTGCTGCTGCACTATGCACAAAGCAACTGAAGGCTAACCCTGCTCGACGGAACGATCCGGAAGATCTGCTGCTGCAGAAACACCAGCGTTCAGAGAGTTTCACCATCAGGAGGGAAAACAAGCGGAGCACCGACAACTACAGCAGTAC